GGTGCAATTCTTGCTTTACGCAGTACATGACCCGATTATAGCACGCTTTCATATGACACTCATGGTTTCTCGTGACTCCTATTCATCATTTGCTGTTTCAACGGTGGATTGACTCTATACGGTTGGAAATCGGAAAGGAATGCGACGAAGTGGCGAAGTAATACATCACCAATTTTATACTTGGATCCGGGCTGAGGATCCCGGCATCGCTTGGCAACCGTCATTAGCTATTGTTCGTCGAGACGCCGACGCAGTGAGCAGGAGCGTGGGAAAGAGAGGGGTAAGTGGATTCCTGTATGAGCCACGTTTAGCTAATGGTCTATTGAGTCTCGAGGCTCATCACAGATTGCACTTACACAGATTGCACTATCAGAGCACGGGTACCAACTTTTGGAAATTATAACCGAGGTTACAGATCTGTCAAAGCAACGTTTTGAACAAAACGGAGGAGTTAAATTCTCATTTCGAGAGTGCCGACCTGCTCAGCCATCCTCGAATCAATTCGCTTGATTCTGCTTATATATGCATAATTTAAATCAGCGCGTCGCATTCTTAGGCTTTTTTTGAAAAAACCAAGTAACGTAGACTCTTGGTATTCACTGCACATAAACTAATGAGCCCCAGAATGAGAAACAACTTTAAATCATAATTATTGATGGATAAATAAACTTTTTACACGCTTTGGAAAATCTCAGAAGTTCGCGGTAGTCACTTTTCGGTAAGGAACTAAGGGACTCGGTTATTGTATCGAGTAGGGTTCGAAACGATCGCAAAGGCGGTATACTACGTATACGCGCCAATACCATGAAAGAATACACTATGATACGGGGTTATCAAAAGTCACGCACCACTGGCCAAAACTTTAGTTCTAATTGGACGTATTTCTGTCAAACGGAACTATGTGCATTATGACGTGAGCCCTGCTATGCATATATTCTTATGGGTCTCAGGGCTCATGCCTCAATGCACGTAGTTCCGTTTGACAGAAATACGTCCAATTAAGATATTGATTCGCGGTTTGTAACGTTTTCCCCCATATTGAGAGGGAAACTTTTTTAGGTACTTTCCAGTTTTTGACCCCCTCAGGGAGAGGGTGGCAGGGTGCAACTCAAAAATTTCAAATCGCCAACCCCCTCGTTGCCAGTGGTGCGTGACTTTTGAATGACCCTGTAGATTTAATGGGTGCGCGGCTAACCTATTACTGATATGCATTGAGCTACAGCTGGTTGTTAAGTATGGGTTGGAGGATGGGACCCTATCGCAGGATTTTAAGTACCTCCCGAATTTAAGTGGAAAAAAAATAATAATTAAAATACAAGAACAATTAATGTAAAAAAACCATATTTTCAAACCAATTTTAGCTTATTCTCGCATTAAATCTTATACTTGCATGTTTTTCGTGACCATTGAGATTCGGGCTATCGCGTCATGCTCTTTTTCAATCATACTTATCCCAATTCTGTACCCTGGTAAAAATTGGCGATAAGAACTGCGTTTCAAAATACCGTAGGAATTCTTAAAGCCGGCTAAAGAAGGCTACAGAAAATCATATAGCTGGCTGAAGAATGCGGAAAAAATCATACGGCCGGGCTATACGAAGCGATAAAAAAGTATGCAGCCGGGCTATAGTTCCTATCGCCGGGCTTTACACTTTATCGCCATCGATTATAAAAGGCTATAAGAAATTGTGTAGAAATTCGTGTGCATGCTTTGAAAATCATTAAGTTTGATACGGAACCACCTTAATATTTACAAAACACACATAATATTTTCCTTTAATACACATTTTTTTTCATTAATTAAAATGAGAATAATCCATACAGGATGTGCAAACATTTCAAAATCATGAGTTGAATAACGCTGACTCCGCCAGATTAAATATTAGAGCCTTACACAAAGCGGAGCGGCGACGCACTGGCGCCTACAAACCTAACAGGGATACTTCACGCATTGCGCAACGCGTGAAGTATCCCTGTTAGGTTTGTAGGCGCCAATGCGTGTTTCGCGATGGCTGCCCGCCTACCACGGCGCTTGAAGCAACTATTTCACACCAGAGGTATTGCACAGTATCATACGAAACTGAGGGCGCTCTAATATATTAGTAATGGCAGGCATCCATCAAAAGAACGGAGCTTTCCTCGCAAAATAAATCAAAATACTACGGCCCAAAAAGAGAGCAGTATTGCAAAAATTCACTAAATCCTAGCATCCGTAATTAGTAACGTTTAGCATACACTTTATCGCCTGGCTGTTGCTTAATCGCCATCGGCTATAAAGGCAATAAGAAATTGTGTAGCCGGCTATAGAAGCTATTGGAAATCTTACAGCCGGCTGTAGGTCTATGTTATTTTGGAACACAGATTCTACTGCCAATTTTTTACCAGGGTAAGAATAAAGCAGTTGTATCATAGGAGAATAATGTGCCTAAAATGTTTGTACGAATAAAAAGGGTACAACCATACAATATTTTAAACTTAGACTAGATTCTACCGGAGAAAACATTATTTCTGCTCGTTATTTAAGCTTTGACTCAAGCTTCACAACTTCAATTTTGGTTATGAAAGGCACACCTCGAAAAACACTTAACGAGAGTATAAGGACACCTTTGACATTAGCAGGGATTGTTCTTTTTCATGATTTGAGCCAGCTAATATAATCCAAAAAGACGCGTCTGACTAATATGCGCGAAAAATATACCATACTTAATAGAAGCTATGCTTTTTTAGAATGAACTAACGCTTCCTGACAAAAAAAATAAGAGTCGGTGTATGTAATGGCCGTAGATCTAAAATGGTGTAAAAATAAAACGGCATGTGCTCTATTATGTAGGTAAAACCACACCAAAATCAGTTGCGCATTGGGAAACGCACGTTGTATACAAATACAATTACACACAATCGAGCGTATTTGGTGCTTATGAAATCAATTTTTCTGTATCTGTTCTCAATTAGAAGTTTTCTTGAGAACTGATTCAGGTGCGAAAGTCGTCACGAGTGGTATACTGGAGATCAAACGAAGATTTTGTTAATTTTTCTGTGTAAGACTTTTGCCAGCCTTAAATTCACTGAAACAAATAAACAATGAGTAATGAACACTTACACGCGCTAAGCACCTATGTTCTCGCCACCGGAGTTCAAGTGCACGGTATTTTCATTTTTCACTCGTGAATATAAGTGTCTGGTCGTCATTGTCCAGTCACCGTGGCCTCTTCAGTTCTAATTATCAACGATACGTCAATTTTATTAATCGCCGGTAATTCCTCAAACGATGACAGTAGCGGCAATTTATATCAATAAACTACAAATGGATGTCTCATGACTACAACTGTCCGACAGGAAAAAATTAAAATTTGGTTTTGTTGCGAAAAAACTGTTTTTAGGGTTTCACGCATCAAAATGTCTTACGAAAATTGTTCAACATTTTGAAATAAATTAACGATGTGAGGTCAAAGTTATACATTTTCTTGCAATTTATTTGTTAAAATTGATTTCAATGCTCCTCGTGTAAAAAGAGTTTTGTAAAATTAAAACAAAAAATGGTATTGATTTTGTGCAGAATGCCTATGCAGTCGCTCGTAAATTTTGTTGTCAGCTTGAATGCTGATGTATGAATTTCATTTCTAGTGAGACTGGTTCCTGCATCTGCATGTTGGCGAACGCATTAGAAGCCTCTTCATTTGTTGCGAGAGTACTTAAAATTCAAGTCACTTCCATGGTTGAGTGACATAGAACATATTGGCAAACTCCAGCTGTCGTCTGTCACAGCAGCTCCCTTCCGATTTAGGGGAAAATACATTTTGAAAATTTATAATGCAGAAACAGAAACATCTAATTGAGGTTTTGCAATGTCCTCCTCTCGCTTTGCATGTTGAAACCCGAAATAAATAAGCAAGTTTCGCTGTTTTGAGAGCTTTTTACGTGGTAAGTGAAAGTTTTTAAGGGTCCCGTGTCACAAAAGTTAAGACGATTATGTGTGATCCTTGTCGAGGGATCCATTATTTCTGGATAGCGCCCCGTAAGGAACAGGAATCAAAGGAACTAAGCTCTTACCAATCATTTTCACCTAAATCACCGCAACGAAATAGACTTCAAGAGATTACATGCTGCCTGTTATTCAGCAGATGGATTCTAAACCTACGTTAATGCATGTGATGTGGTATTCGCGTGATATGAAGGCTAATTGACATCGGTTCTCTTCCTCTGATGCTGAGCTCATAAACTCATGCACAACACGGCAGAGGCATGCGCGATGAGAATTCCATGGTCTTGGTCCAAATTGATAGATTGAACTTTAAAACCACTTGCGCTAACAATGATTCGTTTTACACCCACACTTGGGGACATACTATCAAAATCATAACGATCACATTTTGTCATGACCCAGCTCTTACAGAGTGTGATTGACACCTAAAATTCAAAACTAAGAATGAGAATTTCCTCTCCTTGACCGATCTCAGAGAGTTGTATATTTGAATCAGCCGATTTTAAAACCTAGCATATATAAAAAAAAAATGTCCTTCCAGCGTCTGCCCGAAGACTACTCGAAAACTCAAAAAAATTGTCATTCCATGCAAAAACGTATAGCAAGTTCAAAAATTAAATCTCCTCATAAATTGCATTTAAATGGCGAGTAAAATTTTGTGTTCGGTGATACGTAGTTTCTTTTAAAAACTTATTTTTTTCTTGGTTTTTGTGAGACGATGATACATCCAAAGCGGGTATCTTTATGCCGTCTTTATATTTTGTGTTATTAATGATTGAGTCCAGTCAAATCTGTGATATAACTGCCTGTAAGCACGGGTAACAAATCAGTATAATCGCACTCATCACGAAGATCTGTTTTTATGTGTACAAACATAATTCGCACCACGGGATATCGATGAAAGAACATCATTTTTAAGCCCTTACTTGTCTGATTAATAAGAATAATTCAGAAATATTGTAGATACAATGAAAAAATAAAAGGTTATAAGGTTTAAAAGGTAAAATAAAATGGTTCGGCTTGCATACAAATTTGTATTTTAAAAAGTTCAAATTAGGATGTCTCTAAATCATTCAGTTCTTAAAATCTGATGATCATTCTACGCTTTGTACAAAAAAACTTACATAGGGCAAGTATTGTCGTCTCATTTATCTTCAAGTATAGAAAATCACATAGTGGCACAGATGCACAATGGATCGAGTCAATCAGAAAATTAGGACATGAAATTTTTACTAAAACTGCAAAGTTTGATGTTTATTTCGTCACATTTTAAATATTTTGGAGTGCCTCTAGCAGAAAATCTCACGAACAAACCAGTGGAACCATTTTTAAAACCTCAATTTTTTGTAAAAATGGAGTTATGAGCTTGTAAAATTTCCAAATTTTGTCCGACCTCTCCAATTGATTCGATCCACTGTGAGACGTAGTAAATACTCCCCCTACGAGTATTCCTCTTATATCCGAAGTCTCTCAGTTGTATCCGATAGATCTCGTTGGTGACCTGATTAGTCATCCTGGAAGCAGTTGTATTTATCGCGAAGATCACGGGCTGCCTCGACGATCCGTGCTGACTCCCGGAGATTTCCGGGACGTTTCTGGCCTCCTTTCAACTCCATATCCACCCTTTTCAACACCGCGAGACCGTTGTGGGTGATATTAAAGGCTTTCCTCGAGACTACTCGACTCCAGACTATATCACTCTGGTACGCGTTTTTTGCCCTGGTCAGCTTTTTTAAGGCTCCGTTCTTTTCCTTGACGAGATCGCAGACCGCCGAATCGTTCTTGTCCAGTTTGACCTAAAATGCGAACAACTTTTCTCAGAGGCTATTGTCACCAAACGTTACATTTTAGAAACCTCACTCTGCTATCTCCTTTAAGGTGCAGAATTTATGTTTGAAAGTCAACACTCAGATTCGTGTCATTATGATGATAACTGAGCGACTGGTTTTGGAAACCTAACTTGATTTGCAGAAACTCTCTAGCACATTCCTTTCGCAACACGTATCAGTTGGACTGCATTTTGCGATAAGGAACTATAAATTCTGGCTCAGTTTAAAAACAACGTACGCACTATATGCACGTAATGTACTATATGCATATAAAGGTGGCCACATGAGCCGCGGCCCATGGCGGCAAATCTAGGGGGCGGCAAATTTTGCAATTTTTTTTTTAGGTATAAAATAAAATCGGATTTAGAAAAAAAAATTACAAACGAGAAAAGGCTACAAAATCTCTCATTTCCTGAGAGTACAGTAATTTCTAAGTTTGTCGTCTTTCAGTGATACAAGAGACGCACCTTTAATTAGTCGAGTTAAGAGAGAAACCAAACACACAATTTGGCCTGAAACGGCGCTACTTAGGGAGAAATGATGACGAGGACTTGAGATGAAAAGGAGAAGCCCTCGGCGCGGCAATCAGCATGTAACACATATCAGCGCCTACAAGACTGAACGAATACTTCACGCATTGCATCAAACACAGTGCGGTTACTGTGGTCAGCGTGAAACGGATAGCTTAGAGCCTAAAAGAATGCATGAATACTTCACACATTGCGCCGAACACAGTGAGGTCAGCGTGAAACGCATAGCGCCTACAAGACGGCGTGAATACTTCACGCATTGCGCCAAACACGCGGTGCGGTCGGCGCGGCGCGGCGGCGGAAGTTAAAATCATTAAACCAAATTTTGTGTTTGTTCTTTCATAATTTTTTCGTTCATTTCTTAAGAATGGAAGGCCTTGTCCTTTAGAGATAGGTTTCCGAAACTTCACTTTCGCGCAAAGTTCCGTGACCTTTTGCTAGTAGTGTTGACACGGCTTTCCCAAAAAATGTGTTCAACACGAGTAAACACGTCTTATGGACCCCTCCCCAGCTGGCACGTTCACTTGATGGTTTTTATTGATGTTTCAACACGAATGAGAAGGGGGCGGTAAAATACAGGCGGCCCATGGACGGCGAGTAGGAAAATCTGGCCCTGATACATATGTATGCGGTTTTCATACGCACATAAGTGTTTTTTCGAATGAGCCAGAAATTATAGTTCATAGTTGCAAAATGAAGTCCGGGTATCTATGGGCGAATCACACGATTAACAAGTTACTCACGAATCATCAGTGACCTAAATTAAAAATTGGGCTCATCTTCTAACATAACCTTTGTCTCGCCACCCGATTAGGTTGCTCAGGTTGATACTTAAAATATTTTGTCCAATGCCTTTGCACACGTTACAATTGTTTTACTGAAAGTGGGGGTCATCGGTGCAACACTCATCGATGATCGTGAAATGTGTTGTACAAACCCTCATCTATGATCGTGAAATTTGCGCGGGCCCCGCAAATTCCCTTTAAAATTCTAAACGTTTGACTTCAAACTTGAACGTCAATATCAAAATGGACCCCATTCCACAGAGACTCGAAACTAAGATGTTGATATAAGAGCGCAGGGAAATGTGAGGAATAAAGAATATCAACTTGAGGTAAAGTTGTAGCGGTTTGAAGTTCGCTGTAAAAAACATAGCTTTTAAAACGTAAAAAAATCAATATGTGTCATATTTAGAATCCAAACTGTAGGATTACGATGCAACTTGACGCAAAAATGAAGTAAACTCCCTCTCTAAGGCATTTAATAATTTTTCCGCCGGAAGCCCACAGTGCAAATATTTTCGCCCAACTCTACAAAAATCTCACTTCTAAAAATGTTTCTTTCGTAGTCTCAGGTCCTTTAAAATTTAAAATAACACAATTTTCAAAATTTTGTAATACTTCTTGAGCTTTCTTTGCTGTCCATTTCTAAGCATGGACCATCGTCCACGCCAAATTCGGCGCCGATATAGCAACATTTTAATATTCTTCTGGTGGGTTGGATCAAAAATTAATTGAATTAAAAATTAAAGCGCATTGCGTAATTAATTACGAAACGCCCTCAACTGATTCATTGTCCGTTAAGTTGATGTCGTTGAGAAATGTGACTAACCTGTCTCATTTTTAGCACATCTTCACCGATGCGAGTGTCAAGAATTTTGCACTCGCCTTTGTAAGTTTCGTCGTATTTCAATAGCACACACAAGTTCTCGCAGATGGCTTCATGAGTTTCTTTTGAGCAGTCCTCTTCGTCCTCACGCAAAAAAGTCACAATTTTACCCAACGAATCATGCACTGGAAAAATTAAGCATAAAATTGTAAAAGGATACATTTCCAATATATATACGAGGAGCAAAATCATCTCTGGCGTTCAAGAGATCAGAAGGTCTGTTGTACACTAAAGATAAAGCTAACGATGAGAAAAAAACTTTTAAAAGTGGCCCGAACTGAAAGTAACAAGGCGGAGAAATGGTGCTGGGTCCCCACCATTCCGCGGGGCAAACATAGCCAAAAATTTCAAATATTTTTAACTAGAGCCGAAAAAATATTTTTTGAGCTGTAATGAGTACCAGTACGAGACAGATGGGGATAGTGTTCAGCTCCGGCAGCTTATGTTGGAATATTAAGTTGAGGTCACGGCGAGAGATCTATAGCGCTTTGGGTCTTTTTAGACCTCGTCAGTAGATCTCACTCGTCAGTGTCCCCAACTTAGCAACCCGCAAAATCCAAGACGACATGAAATCAGAGGAATAATGTTCGTCTTTTTTCTTTGAAAGAAATAGAATCTGATAAGGAACCTGCAACGTTGCAAACGAAAATGCGTGTTTTGCCTCACACTTTAGAGGGTTGGGCTAAGTACCTAAATTATATATTTTTTTTAAACTTACATAAATATTTTCTCTGATGAAACGGTGTTATACTACATTACCTGCAGAGCAGCTATCGGCAGACTTGATTTCTTCGCGTGCTATTTTGACATAGCCGAGACCTTCTACCAAACGCTCCTCGATCCTGTTCCTAAGGTCTTGCTGATGTTCTAACAGGTTGTCGAGATCCTGTTTGACCTCATCTTCGTTCGAATCCTTTTCGCTGCGCACTGCCTGTGGCGAGGGAAAAAATTCCAGACAGGGAAACTTCAGAATTCCTCTTGATAAAAAAATATACTTCATGTGAAAAGCTCTAGTACAGGGCAAGGCCGGATTAAGGGGGTGGCCACATGGGCCACGGCCTATGGCGGCAAAATTTAGGAAAAATCGGCTCCAGAAAATAAATTACAAAGGAGAAAAGGCGATAAAATCTCTCATTTCCTGAGAGTAAAAGTATAGTAATTTCTAATTTTGTCGTCTTTCGGTGATACAAGAGACAACACCTTTCATCAGTCGAGTTAAGAGAGAAACCAGACACGCAATTTGACCTTGAGCGGAGCGGCGCAGAAGGCAATGATGACGAGGACTGAGATGAAAAGCTAGGGGAAGCCCTCGGCGCGGCGGTCGGCATGAAACGCATGGCGCCTACAAGACTGGATGAATACTTCACGCATTGCGTCAAACATTCCGGTCAGCAGCGGTCGGCGAGAAATGCATAGCGCCTATAAGGCTGCATGAATACTTCACGCATTGCGCCAAACACAATGCAGTCAGCGCGGCGAAGGAAGTTAAAATTATTAAACCACATTTATGTTTGTTCTTTCATAATTTTTTCGTTCGTTTGTTATAAATGGAAGGTCTTGTCCAAACAGGGATGAGTTTACGGAACTTAACTTTCGCGTAATTGTCCGTGAACTTTTGTTAGTGTTGACGGGGCTTTCACAAAAAATGTGCCCAACACGAGTAGATGAGTCTCATGCACCCCTCTCCCACCGGCACGTTCACTTAACGAATGAAAAGGGGGTGGAAAAATACAGGCGGCCCATAGGCGGCAAGTAGGTAAATCCGGCCCTGGTACAGGGGATCTTAAATCTACGCGACATTTTCCGGTGAGCACATCTTTCATAAAACTAGTCGGAACGGATCTCAACCTCAAACCTGCAAATTGTACTTAATATTATATCTATCCTCACAAACATGGAAAGTATGGTTTTCTCAACTAGCTTGAAGTAAATAAAGTCCCCTTTTATGAGGGATAATACAATTCGTATATTTTTCATCACCTGAACGATCTCTAAAACTCCGAACAAAATAAGAAGTACCCTAACGTTAGAGAGGATGGATATATAGTAGTATTAGTGCCTCCCTTAAAGAAAACTATATAAGAGACAAAAACTAGGATGGTACCTTAATCAAAAGAACAGCAAGCGTTGCGAACAAGAACACTATTTTAATCTTAGCACCCATGATCAAAGACTTAGGAGACCCCGGTTTTGAGTTTCCTTTTTATACCCACCAATTAAGGTTAAAGCTCATGCTTTTGACGCATTTTTAATCCTTGACGGGTGTTGCTAATGGTTTTGCCCTTTTGCTGTTACATGCAACAACGTTTTTCTCAAGAGCCATGCGTAAGTGAGATGGATTTACGCATTAAATTAGACTCAAATTCCATAAAAACGTGCGATCGACTCTCTTGACGAGGAAAGTGCGCCAGATTTTTTCTGGAAATTGCTATCCATTGCTCGACTTAGCTCAAATGAGTCGGAAATTTTTCGACGAAAAAAACGTGGCAAAGTGAAAACATTACGATTTTTAAAGTTTTTTCCCCTCATAGAGAGATTTTTCTAAATAGTCAACTTATTCATTGTATCTTAAAAGTTTTAACTAATAACGATAGACGACTATTCTCGAAAGTTAGTAACAGTTTCTAGCCACCTTTTAAATCCATCACGAATAACCAATTTAGGGAGAGATAGACTGACCAAAAAAATATCGATTTTTTTTAACTTGTATTTAAATTTCTCTCGCATTTGGTTACTCTGGTTATTGACTTGAGAGTAAAATCGCCACTGCTGATTATGTTCTTCTATACATACATCGCATACTCAAGTTGGCTATATGACGCTGGTGAATCATATTTTATGACGGTACTTCAATTTTAAGTGAGCTGTCAAGAGGAAAAATCCGCCCTCTCGAGAACCATTCTATTCCTAGAAATGAATTAGGTATTTGTGCAATAAATAAAATCTTGACTTATGTATACAAGTGTGACCAAAATCTGGAACGGAACACCTAACCAATTTTACTACGAAGGATTCAAGTATATACACTTGAGAGGGGGGTGGTATAGTTTTTTGTGACCGGAAATAAAGGTCTCTTCATGAAATTTGTAACTCTCAAAATGCAGAGGAAAATTGCGGTTCTTCTCAAAAATTTACTTGTGGATTCTCTTTTTGATTTTACAAAAACTCGCTGAAATTTTCGATGTAAACCGTTCGACCGTTTTTTAATGAAAACGTATGTTGTCAAGTTACAGCTTACAAAGTTGCAATTAATGGAGCTCGTTTACCTCTATATTTATCATTAAATCTGCCTTAGGCACACTCTTAACAAGAGGAGGAGATTTATTCTATTATGCTAAGAAAAAACGCCTTATGTACCTTTGGATGCATCCAAGTTTCTTTTGATAAAAATAAATTCTCAAAAATAATTATATGTAGTAGTAGGAGAGATTTGCCAACATTTGAATGTTCATACAACGTTTCCCCTTAGAATGGCTGCATACTGCCGTGCTAAGGAAAAACGCCGTATGAACATAAGAGTGTTGCCAAATTTCCCCGGATAAAACATGTATTTTTGAGGAAAGTTATGCGTATTTTTCCTTAAAATTTTTCGATATATTAGATTAAATTGGAAACAAAATTTCCTGAAAAATTGTAAGAAGAATATTCAGAATTTCCCCAGTAAATTCGTTGGTTACTAAGGAAAATATGGCAACGCCTGAAGGCTCATACGGCGTTCTTCCTTAGCACGGCAGTATAAGCGTTGATGAAATGGTGGCATCACACTTATCCGTCATTATCATGACAGCAAATTTTGCTGCGGCAGATGGATGTCATAATTATGCATCACTGTCACCGCTTCGCACGCCTGCATTTGCCGCTTCTCTTAATGTTTTTATTTGCATATTGTTCCTAAAGCAATTTTGCATGATCTCTTTCTCCAACAATAAGACAGGAGGGACAGCGCCTACAATTGTTAAAATATACCAAAAAATTAACTTAATAATTATTAAAATAGGTAGACCTTCGGTTTCGTAAATAAATCACAAAGTTTCATTAAATCATTCAGTTTGGTTATTGTGAGAGTAAAAACGATGATTTTCTCACAAAAACAGACGAAAATTTAAATTTACGTGGATGAGACGGTTGTGGTATTTCTACATTTTGAAGGCGAAATGTCACTTATACTCTGACAGGGCACGGCAGGGTCTCTGTAACGAAATCAAGAGCAGAGGTGGAGAAATCGTGATGTCGATTATGAAAAAGAAGTCGATGTCTCTTGGATCAAAACTTTTTCTTACTGAAAATGCTCAACTCTTTGACTCCGACAATAAGTCGAATTTATACATGAAAGGAATCTAGTATTATGCTCCCAATTTAATCACTGTCAAAAAGCCTTAAGTATTTGAAAACAAGCATTGGTAATTTAAAAATAATTGCTCAGTAGATGAACATATTCAGTGGTATTCTTTCAATTCATAGAAAAAGCAGGTTTGAGATTAAATATAATGGCATGGCACCGAATTCGGTACCGCAATACATTGTCGTGAGACTGAAAATTGAGTTATGATTTTCAATACTGTCGATTGATCTTTCAATTAGCTACAGTTTGATGGATATTATAAAAGAGAATAACATTTGCTTCCAGAATTTTAATTACTTTTGCCCAAAATTGTGCCTAGATTCATAATCAGAATGTTTACTGCTTTTATCTCAGTGATCTACTCCAAATTAAAATCACCATTTTTCATCAATTGTCATTTTACACTAGTTCACGCCGTGTACCTAGTAATACCTTACTGTCTCCTATGTTAAACATTAGATTGTGGGTTTCCCGGTCGTTTCATTCGTTACATCTTAAGTCGTGCCACATAGATTGCAAGCTCCATTTTCATTATCTTCGATGTTCCTAGAAATGGAGCGCTCTTTTTTGCTAACATTGTGTTGTATCTTGTTTCCGAGCTTTCAAGTTCGTGTCTCATTGAAATATTGGGTAGTTTGTACTATCTCCTTCGTAAAGTCTGCATTTTTTCTACATCCAAAAATAACTCTCACCAGACTTAAAAATTCTAAATATAGATGTGACTGTTGGCAAGTGATAATCAGTGACAAAAACGCTACACAACAGTCAAAAACACGAGAGTAATCTGACTAACAATTGGATCACATTTAGCAAAAAGCAACCAGCGCGATTACAAGGTTTTCAAAATCGTGTAACTTTTTATTTTCTTTTAAAAATACTTAATATTATATCGTCACCTTCCGGCCAAACTATCACAAGCACCATGCGACGTTTCAAAATTTACGCCGCCATTTAATTCTTTTGCGGAGAAGTTGTTCAACGAAGCTGTCCGAAAATTTCACTGAAAATTCTTTGTGCTGCGGATAAAATTCAGTGAAATTTTCAAATAGATTGAACCAATAATTTGTCCGTAAAAAAAATAAAATGGCGGCGGAAATTTTCAAACGTCACATGCCGCATATGTGATAATTTGGCCGAAAGGTGGATGACAAGTACTTATAGTATTCAAATTTTCACAGTTTACTGCAACCTTTTAAAATCAACACTTTTTTGGTGGGAAGGGAAAATTTTTTCCAATTCTGGGAGATTTTTTCAATAATTACGTAGGTGCAACATTTCTACAACACTGCAATCACGCGGGTTCCTTTTTGCTACATGCGATCAAAATTCATAAGTTTACCCGTTGCCAAGGTGCAAGAAATTTAATTTTTCATGGACTTTAAGAGTCATTACAATTAGACCACTTGAAAAGAGTGCAGCTCTCCCCCACGACGGCTTGCCCCGACTTTAAAGTGCGCTCTTAAGTTGGAGTAAGGAGCTGCGGGCCGAGCGAGCGGACGCCGCGCCGGGAAGGATTCAGTAATTAGAGCGTCCATTCATTTGCGTTGTGACATTTTTAGTAATTAATGGCTGTAACGCTCGACGCCTGATCATTCGCGCTTCGCGATTTGATCAGTCCGACTAGGGAAGTCAAGTGCCGAGTTACTGGTGCACATGTGTCCGACAGGATTTCCTCCATCTTACTTCGTCAAGCATGTTCGCTACGCCCGGTGTTAGGCGACAGCTGGCCGCTGCCATCATATGTAAGTTTTAGTTTCTTGTGACTGCCCATCTGAAAGTGGATCTTACTGTTGTGTTACCGAGGAGAACAGTTATGAGTCTTAACTTATGACCGATTATGACAAATTGAATGCCCTCCGAAATTGTGACCATCCAAGGGAAAATGGACCTTATTATTATGTTACCAAAGAGAGTTATGAGTCATAACTTATGACCGATTTTGAGTAATCGAGTGCCCTTCGAAATTGTGACCGTCCATCGGAAAATGGATCTTACTGTTGTGTTACGGAAGAGAACAGTTATGCGTCTTGCTTATGACCGATTTTGAGAATCGAACTCCCTTCGAAATTGTGACCGTCCAAGGGAAAATGGACCTTATTATTGTCTTACCGAAAGAACAGTCATGAGTCTTAGCTTATGGCCGATTTTCAGAGATCGAATTCCTTTCGAAAGTGTGACCGACCATGAGAAAATGGACCTTACTGTTGTGTTACCAAAGAGAACAGTTACGAGCCTTGCTTATGACCGATTTTGAGAAATCGAATGCCCTTCGAAATTGTGACCGTCCAAGGGAAAATGGACCTTATTATTGTGTTACCGAAGGGAACAGATATGAGTCTTAACCTATGACCGATTTTTAGAGATCGAATGCCTTTCGAAAGTATTTGACCGTTCATGGAAAAATGGACCTTATTGTTGTATTACCAAAGAGAACAATTATGAGTCGACATAGTTATGAGTCTAACGATTAATTTTGCGAAATTGAGTGTTCTTCGAAAGTCCACCAATCTAAGAATGAACTGAATGATTCCGCTGATGATTGAAGTTTTATTTCGACGGTGAGCATCCCAAACCACGTATCGCGTTTGCTGTGTTTAAAAACCTCTGCTTCTATTTTATTCTTTGACAGGAGAACGAATCAACATCATTCCTTGAGGGTTTTTTTTTTTTTTTTAATTTGCTTCGCACAGAGAGCAAAAAATCACGGAGTTTTTTGAGAATTGACATTGATCAGTTCTCGATTTCCTCCAGTTAGGAATTCTGCAACGTCGCAAACCAAGGTACGTGGTTTGGGATTTTCACTGTCAATTTATATGGAACCTTTCACAGAAATCGGACCTTACTGCCGTTGCACCGAAAAGAGGAGGTACGACTTAATTTTCGACATTTTTCCAAAATTCAACAAATCTAATTTGAACGAACTGAAATATTTAGCTGAAACAGCAAAATTTGGCGTATATCGGCAAAATACAGGGGGTTGCCGAAGAGCAGAGAGTGCGCTAAAAGTGAAAATTAAGTCCATTATAACTATGGGACCAACAAACGCCAACAAAGTGTCCAAAAATCGATCAAAAACTCAAAATTCCCCCTCCTTCTGCAGCAACTAAGAGCCAATTGCTAAGCATGATAATGAAAAGTGCCAGTAAAATTACATAATCTCAATTATTTATTGAAGAAAGTGTAGGATTGGATAAAGGAATAAAGTTAATAACTTTTCAGGAAATTTAGAGGGGCCGCCGTTGCTTCGAGGGGAGGTATTGTTTGAAAATAATTTTAAAAAAAGAAATAAAAATAAAAATTGAAAATTTAAATTATACAAAAAAATCTTACTTTAACACAGAGGATTGATTTTGAGGTATATTCCGTTAACCCACTGGGACACTGTGTGCAGTTTTTGTATACTCAAGATCCTTGGAGAGATTTTTGCTCGCGTCTTTTTCTCAAGTGTGCAAAACTGGGAGAAATCAACAAACATTTTGTATCGAGGTAGACTAACGTATACTTGGTGAAAAAATTGCTCTCTTCGGCTGTCAAATTCTCTTGGCAGCATTCAGGAATTCATTAATGATACAAGTATCAAATAGTTTGAAGAAATCGGTAGATATATCAAAATAATGATAAATTAAGGTGCATGCTGTGATTACCAACTAACACGATCAAGAATGATAAAGTACCATACATTCTGACCAGACTAAAATAAATCATTTTCGTTGAATAGATAGTTCTGTTTTTCTTCATGAGCAAATTTTCATTATTTATCCATCTTAGTACACTCCTATTTATTACGCGCTCATTACTAGAGTCAGGGTTCATCATTCTTAATTGCTCCCTAAAAGTCAATCAACTTTGACCCATTTTTTTTCATTAGCCGTTACATATCGAACACTTTTTACTTGGCGTCATAACTTCCACTACGCGAATTTCTCATGACATTACATTTTTTCGGTGGGAAACTAATGAACATTAATTTTAGGAATTCTTCCGCGAAAATGTTGAACGACATGCTGGTTTATATACTTATATATATTCAATCATTTTTTTTTATATTAAACAGCAGTGGAAGGATTTTGCAACATTGTATTGTCTAAACATAAATATTTAAGAAAATACTCTACTACTTTTTTGCAATTCAAGTATTATTATATGCAACAGTTACAACCATTTTGTCACAACTGTTTATATATAAAAATTAACTAAAAATACTGTCAAGATTTAACACATGAGTTACATTGTATAAAATATTTTTAAAGTAAAGTCCAGAGTCATTTGCCTTTATACCGGGATTGGTGTTTAAGACCGCGCATTATCCAATAATCAATGCATTAATCAACTGCAACGGTTAATAACCCTGTCTGAGTTTGGAACGTGTGAATTAGCCCTACTGTAATGGAAGACAACTTCAAAGATAAAGAAGTGAAGGGTCTACCCCTCTCGAAAAGAGGTGCGAAAGATGATCAAAAATGTAATAAATAATAAAGAGAAGGATTCAAGGGGGGATTTAAACTCAATCACACCATACGTAAACTTAATTAATCATTCATAATTTTTATCGTCAAGTACCTGGACACTTGACATGTCTAACCGTAAACTTCAATACAATAATACAGATTGTTATTTCTATCGCATTCATAAATCTCAAAAAGTGACCTAACTCAGACATACAGTGCATGGTGGATTTTTGCACAACTTATGCAATGATTTTGTTTCAAGTGCTATGAAGTCAATTGCTTCGGTGACTATGCTAAGTAGCTGGCTTTCAATGGCTTAAGCTCTCGATCAAAATTGTTGCAACTCCTTGCATGCTACACATCGAACTTGATTCTTTGAAGCTTTTTACTGACGCACATTCACTCGAATGATGAGTGAAACAGGAGTGTAATTTTGGAGTGTCTGCCGGTAGGTTACTGGTCGCACCGGTTTTGTCATCCTAAAAATTAGTCATTAAATTGGACTGAGCCAGCTTCTACTAGAAAATAATTGTTGTATCACAATGCTGACTTGGTTGCTGGATTTCAACTTGATCATCCTCTTTGATCTCCAAGCACGGAGGAACTATTTTATGGATGTCACTCTGTTTTGGTGTGCTTATATTCTCTGAATGGCAAACAAATAACAAACAAAAACTGCATCCACAAAATGTTGTATAGACATCAGAATACAATTCTCAACCTAATAAAAATCAGTTTGAACTGTGGAGGTCTTGGTCTGTGTTTAAAATTATTATTCCTGCATTATTTATAGATTCTCATACTTAATGACCAGTTACACACTAACGTCCACTGTACGCTTGACTCACTGCGGTGAATCAAATGGCCAGTGTCAGCTATGTTTACTTTTTATGTCAGCTGCCTATGAGATATCTAATTGAGACTTAATCGGTTGGAAATCAACTTTAAAGGGGTTTGATTCTTATCAAGTAGTCTGGTAAGCTCTAAGTGTAAATTCCGTCAAAAGTCGGTCAAAACTTACCACCTCACTAAGCACACTACCTTTCGTTTAAAATAAGCAACCTACCCCCACAATCTTACTCACTCTTCTAATTTTTTTTTTTTTCCACTTCAAATATCCCACAGGGAATAATCTTGCGCTTCACCATCCCCCTAAAGTCTCATTCTCCCTCCGTCTCGAATAACCGAGCCAGCCCCGGCTAACCGTTGTTTGAGACCATCAAACTCGGGTCACCTGGCTGAGAGTCGAACCCGGGACCTCCAGACCATACAGCAAGCGCTATACAACCCATAGAGTACATAGAGTCGTAATGCAAGTGGGAGAGCTGGCGCCACTTTTAAGCATTTTCCATGTTCCGAATTCCGAGACTCCTGTGTGACGCCGGGTCACTTTTTCGATACATAATCGATTGCTTGCGATACACGGGTACCCGGCCATCCGATGACAACAACAACAACAACAACAACAACAAAGGAGATAGGAATTACCACGTACTTCACACCGCAATTTTGGATCGAAAATGTATCGAAAAAGCGACCCGAACTCGGCGCACACCGGGCTCGGAATTCGTCGAGCAGAACATGGCGCCAGCTCTCCCATTTACATTACGACTCTATGTACTCTATGCTACAACCACACTACAAGAGGCCGACAACTTAACCTTAAAATTCCTGTTCCAGGTTCCATCGGCTGCCTGATCGCCGGGCTCATGGTGGGCTGGCCGGCGCCGACCCTTAAAAAACTCCGACAGCCCGACTCGCCGGTCCATCTCACCCCGCATGAGGAGGCGTGGGTGGTGAACGCCATGTACTACGGCACGATCCTGAGCCCCTTTCCAAGCGGGTTCCTGATCAACCTCATCGGGAGGAAGACCACTCTCCTGGTCCTGGCCGTGTTCCCGACGCTATCATGGATCTTGGTTTACTTCAGCACTTCGGCCACCATGCTCATGGTCGCACGCCTCTTCTCCGGATTCTGGCTTGGAGGGATACAGACCGTCGTCCCACTTTACACTGGCGAGATCTCTGAGCCCCATGTCAGGGGCATCTTCGGATCGTTCTTTCAGGTTAGTTTTGGATGATATTATGAAGCTTATTTGCATGAAAAATGTCGGAGAATATCAGAGAATAGGTTGCCCAAACAAGTTTTGGATTGGTTACTACCTGGGACGAGGCGACGGGGACGTCCAGTAAAGGGTTGGCAGCAGGGCGTTGACGAAGAGATGTTGCGGTGTCAGTTGCCTAATAACCTCTAGGAAGACGGGCATATTTGGCGTTTGGGTGTCGCAGAACGCCAAAGTGCGTTGTAGGAGTGACTTTATATGCTTAAACTTGCATGAAAGTTCAAGGAATATTAATGCATTTTCAAAGATTTTATAAAATTTGGATTATGTTCATAAATTTGGAGGAATTTCATCAGATTCTAAGAATGGTCACGAGATTCCAAAAAAAAAGTTGACAAAAAATTTCCAAAAATTTTAAAGGATGACGAAACAGCCAGATCCGTAGAAACATTTTGCCTAACAACAAAACTGCACAAGAAAAATTTGGAAGAAATTAGGAAAAGCTTAGTGAAACCAGCAAAATTATTGAACGACTTTGTGTGTTCACCTTTTTTTAGTTGTCTCTCAAAACTTTTCGGGGGAAAACAACGGTAACACCGACAAATCTCTTATAGTTTGTCGTACTCAAATCAAACGGAACCAAATCCACTTTAACAAGAGCCCTGTCACGAATGTACTCTTAAGAATCTCAGGGCTCATGCGTCAGAATGGATATACTTCCTTTTGATATAAATGTGTTATATTGACGAAGTCTTTATCTCAAAATCTCTTTCCCATCTCTGTTCCAGGTCAGCAGTTTCGTCGGCAACAACTTCTCCTTCATCGTCGCCCCCTACGTAACGATCCAAACCATGGCAACGATATGCGGTTTCTTCCCGGTGTTGTTCATCATCCTCTTCGTATTCTGTCCCGAATCACCTTACTACTACGCCATGAAGAAAAACTCAAAAGCCGCGGGGAAGTCCCTGTCCTGGCTACGCGGTGACGAGCCAATCATGAAAGAGCTCCAGACGATCCAAACCTCCGTCGATAAGGAACTGAAGGACGACGAGACATTCACCCAAAAGCTCACAAGCATAGCAACGGACCCAGCCAACCGGAAAGGCTTCATCATCGTCGAGACACTAGACGTGATGCAAAGGCTCTGCGGAATCAGTTGTATGAAAGCTTTCTCCTCCATAATCCTCCCACCGAAACTAGGACCTCTAACCACGGATCATTGTACGATCATCATCGGTTTCGTCTGGATGTTCTCCTCCCTGATCTGCACGGGTCTCATAGACAAAGCAGGCAGGAAGCCCTTACTCTACGCCTCCAGTTTGGGCATATTCGTGTCCATGCTATGGACCGGGATATGGTACTATTTGAACGACAATACCGATATCGACGTCAGCTCGTTCAAGTGGCTCCCTCTGGCGGGATTCCTAGTTTTTGGTGTCACGTTTTCCTTTGGACTGGGGCCGATCGTGAAGATCTACCAGGGGGAGATGTTCCCGAATAACCTGAAAGGCATGGCGTCGGCGTTGACTGCCATTATCGCGGCCTTTGCGTCGTCGGTCAGCACGGGGATGTTCCCGATTTTGACGGAGACCATCGGGATGTACGCGAATTTCCTGATTTTTTCGGCGGTGGGCCTCGTTAATTTCCTGTTCACGTATTTCTATGTGATAGAGACGAAGGGCAAGTCGCTGCAGGAGATACAGGCCGAGCTGAACGGCGAGAGACCGGTGGTGACGCAGAGTAATGGGGATAGTGAGAAAGCAGTCTGAAGAACTGCGTGCGCCGTGGTCACATGATCAATACGCTTGCGTCAATGTATTAAAGTCGCGCAGTTTCTTCGTCAAAAAGCGAGCTTTGGATGTTAACGCGGTAAAAATGTCAGTTGAGTAGCTTGAGAAACTCGGCCAATTTTCCAGCCGTCAAGTTATTTCAATCGCGTCGGCGACTTATAAAATAATTATGAGCTGATATTTCTTCATATTCGACCATGGGCAATATTAGATGGGCTTTGAGGGTCTCCTCCTCCCCCTCCTACTTGGCACTTTCCAAAAATGTAAAGGCTTTTTTGGAGAAACCGCGTGATATTTATATCATCCTTTGACATTTTTCACTGTCGTGAATTTCTAGATAATTGAAACCTCTCATTTCTTTGTTTTATAATTTTTTCGAGGAGGGCCCCCCCCCCCTTATGGCTGCAAGAGCTCCATAACGGACTTAATTCGATTGAAACAATCAAAATTGACTTTAATTGATTGAGTTTAACTTCATCTGTGGGGTTGTTTGTATTTACCCTTCAGAACTCTCTTGAAAAAAGCTCATGCCCCCCCCCCCACAAAAGAATTCCCGGGTTTTGCCAGGGAGTACGAAGACCAAGTAGAAGAAATTACGAGAAAAACGCTCAACAAAATTTCTCATCTCCATGTCCATCCAATTCTTCTGCCGTTTCGGCAGATTTTAATCAGTTTGCTGTCAGCAAACTAGTTGTCCTGTTGAAAGCTGGGAAAATCAGAGGGGGATCACAAAATTAGAAAAGAGTGATGTTGTGGGAAACCGGAAATGAAGTAACGATCAGCTCATCAATATTTGGCTACCCGTAGAATATTAAGTCTGACAGGACTACGTTGAAGTGACCTTGACACATTGACGAGTTTATTGATCGTGTGACCAAGGCTTCATCCGCCTGGAGGTTGATAATACTCAGAGTATGTGGCTCTAGTTCCTCACATAGAGCAGCTTAAAGTTTCTGACGAAACTTAATTCTTCGATGTACTCACATTGGGCTCGTGTCCAAACATTCAGAATTCTCGGATACGTGCGAAATCTTTTTTCAAGTGTTTATTTGTGCGAATATGTCTATTTTGGAACTTATTATGAGATGAAAACACTTAAGGTGAGATATTGATAGTGAAGCTAAGAATCATCAGATCGGTTAGTGACGTTCCAAGTTTCAAGTCATTTTTATTCTTCGTTAGAATACTCGGTTATTTTTTTATTTAGATCATCATTTATCGCTATCTTGTCAGGAGCAGGTCTGAAAATATTTAATGTAATTATTTTGATAGATATTTCTGACCAAAAAAAAGAGAATAAGCATTCTAAAGAGACAGGTGCTCGACCAAAGCATGATCATTCTTCACCTGAAATACTGTGTATTGATGCTGAAACCCACGGAACTTCTGTGGACGGGCAGGAAAAACACCGACAATGAAGTAATGAAGAACAAAAATGTAATCTGCAATGCAGAGGGAACGATGCCAAACGATGAATAAAGAACTGAAGGAACAGTCTGAACGAGGAATAAATTATCTCATAACAGAGGCTATAAATTTATTTATTTTTTACTAGATTATATGGGAGCGCACTGGATGGACGTCACGGCAAGGCTCATCACAAATGAACGCAAGTGATGCCAATTTAATGAATTATTTTTAAAAAAATAATGTCGTGTTGCGGAAGAGAACCGTATGAGTCCTCTGATGTTGCCACATTTCATTCGATGAAGTATTTATTTTCAGAAGTTGTGAAAAGTTTTTATTTACATTTGTTGATAAACTGAACGGTAGAGGCGATTTTTCAAGTTGCCAACATTGTTTCCCATCCATTTAAATCCATTAAAAATATCGATTCTAGGCGAGGCAAGCTGCCTCACCATGAATCGATTGTTTTACATGCATTTAAATGGAGGAACAGTGTTGCCAACTTTTAAAAATCGCCACTGCTGAATGGGCCCACTAGACAAGGTGAGAAATTAGAAGCCATACGGTACACTGAGAAAAAATTTCGATAACAGATACTGAGCTTCGGTATTCATATTGAACGCTGAACGTCTTTCGTTGAGGAAACCGAAAAAGGCCTGCGTTCAATACGAACCGAGGCTCACTATCTGTTTTCGAACTTTTCTTCTCCCGTGTCTGTATCCTTATCAAAATTTCGCGCGAACAGGTTGAACAAATTTTAAAACGGAGAAAATAAACTGACATTTTGGACATTAGTCTTTGTAATATGCATTACAATCAGCAAATTAAAATTTACCTCCTACGTAAATCGTAGATTAACAAGTCAAGCCAATTACAATTTCCTGGACTCAGTTTTTTTCTTCGGCTTTTTGAATGTCAACGTATGCATGCAATTCACTGAACTTTCGGTCATAAAAATGCCGAAAACATGAATCCGATACTTTTAAAACTCATATTTAGGCTAGTATGTGTACCTAATTTAAGATTAGGTTTGTGCTGCATTCAGATTGTACTTTACGTTTTCTGTATTTGTTTTGAGCATGCAATCTTTACACTGATAACTTATTATATTTTAACATTCCTGTATTACATTCATTGAAAAACAATGAATCCTCTTACTTTGTGCCATAAATTATTTAAATGTGATCCAAATTACGAATACTTTTATATTATTTTGATTTTCTTGTTAAATTTTCCTTTCCTCTCTCTTCTATTCTCTTTATTGTGAAAAAAAATAAAAATAAAAAATCATCCCATGGATGATGAATATATTCTGCAAATTTTATATTTCTTTCTCATCTTCTCCCCTTTTTCCAGGGAAAAAATATAACATTATGTTCAATGCCTATCATTACAGGATTACAATTTTTAATTTTGGTGTTTTAGTGATAGGGATTTCGGCACACATAGAATGGAGGTCAGAACTGTAGAATTTAGAGCAGAGTCTCTTTTGTGTGCAAGCTGGCAACGCAGGATTTCCTCCACTTAAATACATTATAATAATCAATCAAAATCTGCGTGAAACGGCCAGCTTCAAGGAATATACATCGATTCGCAAACATTTCAATAGTCAAAATCCAGTATTATTAACTTTCAAAAATGGAAATCTGACCGGAAACGTTAATAATGCTCGCTTCAGAATCGACAAATGAAAAACGTATAGGATAGGTCGTTTTTTATGCAAAACTTTGACAAAAAATAAAATGACGCAGTGCTGAAATTCAAGTTCCATCTTGAGACGCATCTAAAATTTAACTTTTTTGAGACACTTTTTATGAAAATTGTGAAGAATTGGTAAATTTTATATTAGGTATTGACATGACCTTATTGAGAAAATTGAACATAGTGTTGCAGCTATATAACTCATTCGTATGGTTTCTGCAAACAGAGAATGTTCTACTATGAATTGAAATATATTTAGAAATGCTTTACTACCCAAAAAACTAAGTCAACTCTTTGCTGAGTGTAGTCTTACTGACGTTTTTTGTTGCTGCGTTGATTGTTGTTTTTTGTCAATGGATGGTCACCAAAATCCTTGACAGTTCCGTTGATGCTCGAAGGGAGACTTTCAATCGTAAGAAGGATTTTTTCCTATCAACAGTTTCTCGGAAACACTTAGATTTCATTATAACCAAAAAGTACTCATACCATCTAATGCCAAAAAATATGAGTACTCTTCAGTCACGAAAAAAAGTCCCGGAAAGTTAGGGAAGTAACAATTATTTCCTCAGAATAGTTTCAAGAAAGAAGATCTAGAACGTAGCAAATACATAGAAAAGTTATTGGAGTATTATATTATAGATTATTCTGAATGTGTGCCGAATGTCAGCCTTCAATACAAAAAATAGTCTTCGAATCAACTACGACGTCATTAAAATTGTATCTCGCGGATTTGAAGGCGAAATGTAAGTTGCCTTTAGGATTTGAAATCAGTTCAAGCGCGGTGAATCTAGTGAAATAGGCCCGTAAAACGACTAGGAGACAAAATCAGTATTTGGAGCTAGACTTCTCCGCGTGAATATGAAGTCTTAAAGACTTTCCAAACATTCAGATTGTTTCAAAACAATGAGATTAGTGCAACTATCGCAGTATTAAATATTCGACATTCAAATGGAAGTGATAGCTTGACCATCACCAGTTTTCCTCTTCTCCGCGATTGTAATTGGAAGATACCTAACAATTGGAGCATAAAATCAAAAATTGCTTTTGCAACTTTAAGTGCTGCACCGTTTGGAATCTCCATGAATCCTTGATTTTTAGGAAACTTGATAACTTCTTGATTTAATTCGTGAAAAGTTCACAAGTAATTTATAAAAACTTGTGCTCAACTTGTTTTTATTTTGGGAGAAAGTTTCCTCGGATGAGTGAAACTAACGGAATGACAAAGTGCGAATGAAATGGTTTGAAAAAAAGAAGCACGTACGAGAGATACGTTGTGTAAGAGTTTTCAAAAAGTTTTTTAACATTTAATAATTAAAGACGTTGAAAAATAATCAATGCGATTTATCACAAGTATTTGAGTATTTTTGTTTTAGAGCGTAGTTTTAATCTACAGAGACGTTATTCGGGGGGAACAATGACAGTCTCCGCGGCGTAGATCATGATGACTAATTTGCCTAATTTCGCGCAATATAATTTTTGAGCCATTTTTACCCGATATGCAAATCAGCTCTATTGTTCGCACCGCAGTGGAAAATCCTGCATAAACCGAGTGATAATTCAAGTTCATTGTTCGATTTTAATACGATACGCACGTTACGTTCTTATCAGTAGATATAAAGACTGAATATTATAGCTCAGTTTCAGTTTTATTTGCACCAAATCTTCAGATTTTTGTACAAAGCTAGAGGTCTGATTATACGGGGGACAAAGTGACGCTACAACATTTTCGGTCTCAATCTTTTAACCTGCCTCATCTGTAAGTATTAAGCTTTTTTCGCTTGTTTGAAAAATATTGTTGAGTCCTGGATAAAGGTTAAGGTTGAAATTAGAAACTATCTAGTGTAGACATCAGAACATAAGGACGAAGAAAACAAATGTTTGCCATGAGACGTGTACAGGAAAATATGTATTTCTGCCAAACTCGCAGAGTTCTTTAAATACATATCAACAGACCATGGGTTTAAATTCGTTTGAAAGAATAGAATGATATGTTCTTCGAAAGCAAACTTATTTATTCCAAGATTGTTGCTACCATTGTGCTTTTTGTGGTCGTTGACACTAGAGAATTTCGGCCAGTAGGTGCCATACTGCACCGACTGACACCCTTCCGGTATCACCTATGTATGGTGTATGTGTGGTTCTATGTGTATGTCTCATGTACGTTGGGGAGCGTTCAAGTATGGCGTCAGTTTTTTAAGGGGTCTCAGGGTCTCACCTTGGGTTATTGGATCTTCCCAGCCTAGTCTTAAGGAAGCCTCCCACTTTTAAAAAAATTATATCCTTCAATCATGGCCGGATTCACCTACTTGCCGTCCATGGGCCGCCTGTATTTTGCCGCCCCCTTCTCATTCGTTTTGAAACTCGATAAAAACCATCAAATGAACGTATGAGCGGAGGAGGGGTGCATAAGACGCATTTGCTCGTGTTGAACACATTATTTGAGAAAGTCCTGTCAACACTACTAGCAAGAGTTCACGGAACTTTGCGCGAAAGTTAAGTTCCGTAAACCTATCTCTGTGTGGACAAGGCCTTCCATTCATAAGAAATGAACGAAAAAATTATGAAAGAACAAACATAAATGTGGATCAATAATTTTAACTTCTGCCGCCGCGCCGCGCAGACTGCACCGTGTCGCAATGCGTGAAGTATTCCGACAGTCTTGTAGGCGCTATGCGCTTCATGCCGACCGCTGCTGAACGCACTGTGCTAGACGCAACGCGTGAAGTATTCACGCAGTCTTGTAGGCGCTTCGCGTTTCACGCTGACCGCACTGTGTTTGGCGCAATGCGTGAAGTATTCATGCATTCTTGTAGGCGCTATCCGTTTCACGCTGACTGCAATAACCGCACTGTGTTTGATGCGATGCGTGAAGTATTCGTGCAGTCTTGTAGGCGCTAATATGTGTTACATGCCGATCGCCGCGCTGAGGGCTATTCCTTTCCATCTCAAGTCCTCGTTATCATTTCTCTCTAAGTCGCGCCATTCCAGGCCAAATTGCGTGTTTGGTCTCTCTCATAGTTCGACTTTTTGAAGGTGCTGTCTCTTGTATCACTAAGAGACGACAAAATTAGAAATGACTATACTCTCAGGAAATTAGAGATTTTGTCGCCTTTTCTCGTTTGTAATTTCGTTTTTATAAATCCGATTTTTTTTTTGTGCCTACACTTTAAAAAATTGCAAATTCTTGCCGCTCCTTAGATTTTCCGCCCCTTAGATTTGCCGCCATGGACCGCGGCCCATGTGGCCACCCCTTAATCCGGCCCTGCCTTCAATACCTAAAAATAAGTTCTTTTAGCTACTTTTTTGGTTCTCTCCGCGCGCTGGAAAGTATGCTTCGACTAATAGTGATGTGAGTATGATAATCAACAACAGATTCTAAAAAGTTCAAGAATGTAACTCTAATCGTACTCACTAAAAGTGTGGTAGATGCATGCTACTAAAATAAATGTCTGGTTATCCTCATCCTACAGTATTACTGTTTTGATTCAGTAGACTAATAATAGAAATTCCATGTATGTTGAAAACGCGACAGCCCGCGACAAGACATAATTAAGTAAAATATAAAACCACGAACAAGGCTAGAGAAAAACAAGCAGAGATATCCAACACAAAGTGTTGATATGGCGCGTCAATAATTCGTACCTTGGATGTTGCACACTTGTCACAATAAAGGAGCCAAAAAATCCTGTCATATCTCTAAGGCACTCAGGTTTGTGATCTAAAACAAATGTGTACACAGTTATTGTAAAAATGAGACGATTTTATTAACATTATATTTATAGACTACATAAAAACTGGACATATATGAGAAAATGATACATTGTTTATTTATAAAAGAATACTGAATGAAAAATTTAAAAGATATAAATTTTAATAAATATTTGTAAAATTTACAAGTTATCAATTTGTTATGAAGTTAAGAATTTGTACTGATAAAAATTGGAGAAGTGTGTCATTAATAATCTATTTCCATTCTAGAGTTGGATGCATTTACATAGACAGCTTCTTGAAATAAGGAAATTTTCGTGTCAAATATTTTGACTCTGCGGCCAATATGCTCTTTCTGAATTATATTAACATTGGCGTTCCATAAAATAAGATTAAGTTTATTATCAGCATAATCTGTAAGTGTTACTGCTCTGCGTTCATATGGTTTCTGATATGTATTTATGCCGGAGGAAGCAGAAAATACTTCAGTAACAGTGCCTTCGACATGAACAATAGTATTTTGGGGAATCAAGTTATTATTAATGTCTTCAAATGCAGCAAAATTGTGAGTGACATCAGGCAAATTGACCTTGTTTTTGCTGACTCGTTCGATTTGTGTTTTCTGGGACGCAATTAATTCATAGGGATGACTTGTTTTATTAAAGAGTGGTGCAGCAGGCTTTACTATTGCCTTCGATATTTGATAACTTTCATTCAATTCTAAAATTGAGGCTAATTTTTCAGCTTGTTCATTGAATCCTGTTAACAGAATGGGCCTGTTGCAAACTTTTGCTAGAGCAGAATGAAGAGTTGTTTCCTATAGATAATGCCTCAAAAATCACGATGAGCGCATCGGCAAAGTCTGAAATGCACTCATAAATTCACAATCTGCGTAAGAAATTTGCGTTAT